AAAAAACTATGACATTGAAATACTTCGTTGAAGAAAAGTTTTTCATTTAAAATTAATAATCAACGGCTTGGCGCCGTCCCTGCGTGCAAGCAGCGCCCGTGAAGAAGTCTGCGTAAATCGGTCCTTCCAGTGTGTCTCGCGGGTGCAGGTTTTGCGCGTTCGTGCCGGCGCCAGAAAATCTGATACTTCTATTGGTGAATTCGGATTCCCATAATCCGGATCACTCATAGTGTCATCAAAAGAGCTTAAATCACTAATATCACTCATTTTAAATTTGATTTAAAAGTATAAACGTAGGATTAACTTACAATATATTTTAATTCTAGAAATATTAATAATATTTTGCTATTATCGAATATCGAGTGTGATTGTAGTGAGCAGCCCGCCACTAATAATACAGTGATAACATTAACACAATCATAACAAGAGGACCATGTGCGAATTAACAGTGTTCCCAATGCAACAACAAGATATCTCCCACTATTTATTTTAGTGCAACAACAAAATATCTCCGGAGATGTCTTGTTGTTGCACTAAAATAAAAACCAGACATCTCCATTTATATGATATCTTTGTATTTAGCAGTCGGATTTGTCTGGTTGTTGCACTAAACGACGCAGTTTTTTTTTCTTGATAATGTACAATCAAAAACTGATTTTGGCCAAAATATGGAGATGTCTTGTTGTTGCCCTCAGGTCTTCAATTGAAAGAACTACTGCTGGTTCACCGTATAAAACCGGTTACCGCTCATTATTCGTGCCCGTGAATACGATACGTGACGGTACAAAGTTGAGAACCAATGGCTACATGAGTGGGTTCGAACAACGGGTCGCGGGTGCCAACGCTTATTTTTCGTGTCCACGACTTAAATTGTTGAAAAATGTTTGGTAATAACGAAAATAATATCACGAACCGCGTAATTACTGCTACAGTGACACCTATGAAAATAACACAAATGTCTCATAAGAATTGATTCTAAATGGAATCATAGGGTTGTTCGAAAAAATACAAAAAATAGTTAAATCTTATGATGCTATATGGTATCACTGGCCCTGAATGGGTTAAGGTTTCGAGCTAAAATAAGTTTTTAATTTATATGTATGATATTTTATTAAAAAAATGCAGATTATTCTCTGACCTTATTTTCATTTTTGTGCCTCCGAATGACAATAACTATTTTATTTTTCTATTTTTCCCTGTAAAGTGAATATTATTATTATATTATAATCGTTATTTTATAGTTAATGATTAATTAAAGTTTAAAATTGTTATTAATAATCTTATTCTATGACAGTTTACACATACTGAATAACATAATATGCTATTATATTGATAAATGTTATATAAATTAAGAATACATTTGGAATCAAAAATAAAATACGTAAAATGTATATTGTATAATAATAATAAAAAAAAAAATGCATATTACACCGCATCATCTCTCGAAAGATTTATAAATAATGTATAGTTTAATAATTATAAAAAATTTAAACTGCCATACATTCCTATCCTATTGAACGAACACGTCGACGGTCTTGAATACAGTGATAAAATGTATTATAAACAGTTAAATATCTAAAATGCAGCTATTTACATAGACAATATTATCATATATGCCGAATGGCGTCGTCTTCGCTCCCGGTGACTGTGTTCGTAGGGCCTACCACCGTGTGCCGGTGCTTTTTTTGGACGTGGGTCGCACGTGAGCTTTGGACACGGCAAAACTTTTCGGACCTGACGGGCCGCGCCGGGCTCGCCCAGGGGTCACGTACAAAGCGTGATCCTGATCGGGCGTGACTCATACGTGCGGTCTGCCTGGCCGAAAACATCCCGCGGAATCATATTGCCAACGAACACAAAAATGGAACCAGTTAAGAGGCCGTGCCCGTGGCGGTCATACGACCAGAGCTCTGGCGTGGATGGCGCCTTCCGTTTTTCTAAAAATCACTGTTGTGTTTTGGCGGCAATTGGAATTGGCGCACATGTGCCCATTCTCGTCGATTACACTCACACTTCGGTGCACTCTTCAGCGCGCTCAGCCGTTACCGTCTCATATTCATGGCCGTTCGCGTGTTACGTTCCAAAAACCAATAGTTTGAAAATCAGTATAAAAATAATTCAATTCAACTTAATATCGTCATCAGTTAAAGTAATTTTATTGAATTTAATTTTCATCCAATTATATATATTTCCTCATTTAAAGTTCGTGAATGCTTAAATTAAATAAATATGGTTAAATAAGAAGGTGAATGTTATTCAGGGGCACCATAATATTAATTTAATAATTATTATGACTTAAACTACCTATAACAGAATATATATTGGTTTCGATAAACTGATTAAGATCAAGAGTTTATTTTTTAATAACATTATTTCAATTTGTATAAATTTATATATTTAGTATGACGTCCGTTACTGGTTCGTAACAATGGGTTATCTCATGTTTCATAGTACATATCAGATTGTGAGTCTCCTATAAGTTTAACATTCTACCATTTTTTAATTACCTATATACCCGTTATATAATTGTTTTTCCTTATCCATAATTACTAATTTTAAATTAAATTTATTGTCATTGGTGTCACTATATGCTGTTATATTTAATATTAAATTTAAATTTCTTATTTTCAGTCCGTTTATCAGGGTCTTATCAGTGTTTCCGCTCCAAAATACTAGGACAGGTCTGCGGAATCCTAGGAATAATGATATAGTCATCGTGCTCTAGGTAGCGTTGAGCAGCCCAACTCTGAAATTCAAACGTCGAAGTTCAACAATTACCATTCTCGTACCGTTACAAAGTCCTCTCTTGGCATCCAGGTTTCTCAGCAGCATATGACAGCGCTCACCTTAAGAGCCAGGTTATAAAAAGGGAGTCCCATGGAGTGTAGTGAGTGAATAAACTTATCGGGAAGTCTGCGACATCCTCAGGGTCGTCGTACTCTATGGTGTCCGTGCTGAAGTAATGCCTAATTTCACCCTCGAGACGATTGCGGAGAATGCCTTCGTTAATCTGACGTCACCCCTCGTTGATGGCATTACCTACAATTTTTATTTAAATTTATATTTGAATTTCTGCCCTAAGCGCCCCAGAAATATAAATATTAGATTTTTATCAGGAACATCGTGGAAATCCTTTATTTCAACATCTGAAATTGTAACGGCCTTTGGTAAGAAGACCTCAACCCAACGGTCCTCCTCCGCAGCCTTCATTACCGCTACGATACACGGTCCGTATTGGGTGGTTGTTCTCGTTAATTTTTCGATACCGTACTCGCGTTCAGGGGTGAGTTCACCGACACTATACTCGGCGCACGTTAAGATCATGACCAGTCGCGCATTCAAAACAACTTCCTCCACCGCACCGCTCGCTATAGTGGCAGTTACCGGTTTCGTATACGGAACGCCTTATTCAACAGAGACGTGCACTTGTTTATAAAACAATAGAACTCACTCCATCACACTGTATAATCGATTGTATGACAGCGCGGCGTTGCGAGACACTCGTCACGTCCATGCACAACAGATGTTATATGAATCATTTCTGAGTGAAGGCTTGTTGGTACTTGTAATGAAATAACGAAAGAAAAGTTATTTCATTACAAGTATCAACAAGCCTTCACTCAGAAATTGACGAATTTGTAAAAAAACTATGACATTGAAATACTTCGTTGAAGAAAAGTTTTTCATTTAAAATTAATAATCAACGGCTTGGCGCCGTCCCTGCGTGCAAGCAGCGCCCGTGAAGAAGTCTGCGTAAATCGGTCCTTCCAGTGTGTCTCGCGGGTGCAGGTTTTGCGCGTTCGTGCCGGCGCCAGAAAATCTGATACTTCTATTGGTGAATTCGGATTCCCATAATCCGGATCACTCATAGTGTCATCAAAAGAGCTTAAATCACTAATATCACTCATTTTAAATTTGATTTAAAAGTATAAACGTAGGATTAACTTACAATATATTTTAATTCTAGAAATATTAATAATATTTTGCTATTATCGA